AAAAAATGACACATTTTCATACATTTGGAGCTCTATTTTTCCTTAGACAATAATGGTGGTGTATTTCCCACAAAATTTGAACCTGTCAGTGATGGTAAGATTGTATAATGACATTGGCATTATTTAGCAGAGTTTCCACAGATGCAGGGTGACATTATGGCAGACGGTTGCCACAGATTCCTTGCCAAAAATGAGAAATGAATCAGCCCCAAAAATGGACAAGACACAGAACTGAAAGCCAGTGTAGTGTTTATAGTGGATTCAGGAGATCCAGATTCATGTCCCTGTTGGCCACAAAATGCCTTGTCTTGCCAGCTACATCCCACCTCTCTCAGCCAGGTCTACTTCACAGGAATTTTGTGAAGATAAAGTGAAGGAGGAGAGTCATGTATGTTGCCTTACTCATTGGAAGAAAGATGGGACATATAACAATAAATATAACAAATAAAAACATATTTATCTTAAGTTAGCATACTCTAATATTTATGTATTGCAAACTTATACGTACAGTATAGATGTACAATTTGAAATAATTATTGTAATCTAAATAGAAATGTAATACATTTCACCATTGTGCAGAAATCATAGAGCCAGCATGCTGTAGTGATTTGAATGTTGAACTATGGCTGCAAGAGACCAAATCTTCATTCAGTCACAGAAGCTCACCTTAGACAAGTCATATTGTTTCAGCCAAAGAGGAAGGCAGTGGAAAACCTCCTCTGAATCAGTCTTGCAAAGAAAACCCTATGACAGGTTTTACATAAGTAGGAGTTTACTTGAAGGCACATAACATCAGCAACTGTTTGGGGACAACAGGGGCACCTGAAGTCCTGTTGTCCCTTATGGCAGCGTGGCCATAATGTCCTACTATAGTAACCAATTTCTCCATAAAATGTGTATGTGAATATGCACACATATGAGAATGGAGAAATTGATTCCTATTCGCATGTTGGATCGTATTGGACCTCCAACTGGGTTTTGTATTACAATTGCTTTGAGACAGTTGAGTTGCCTTTCGCCAATTAAAACTCTTTCTTTAGTCATTTGTGCTGCTCTGAACATTTTGTGCAGTATAAATTTGATGCAAACAAGATTTAAGTGCCATCATTCAGATGTGATTGGTTTGTCTGGACATCACATTTCTCATGTTGAAAAAAATTACGTAAAATCGAAACTGAAGGAGCATGCAACTCTGAACTCTAGCATTAGTTTGTTGACAACAAATAGTAGGTTTTTTTCCATTATGATTTCTGGTGTGTGCACTCAAAAGTTATATTAACAAGAAGTTTTGCACTTCTTCCTTTTCCTTTGTAATGACAGGTGACAAGTATTGTAACAATAGGCACAAAAGAGTCCTAATTTTATGGTGGCAAATTCTGCCAGCTGAACAACCTCTCCTTGCTTCAAGAATACCAGAAATTATATGCATGATATTCCTGAGGCATTATCTCATTTATTAGATTTTACTGAACTTGATGGCATTTATACAAAAGTCTGAAATCATGCAAGTGACATCATCCTATCCAATTAAACCTTAGCAGTAAAGCAGACAATGTGTTCAAGTTGTTCAATGGCATGGATTTCATTAAGCACTTTTCCTGCCATATCCAAAGAAATTAAAGCTTAGAAATGTCTGTGTTCTTCTGGTTTATTCTCTTACCTAGTTGTCTTTTTAAATTCCTGTAACTGTTCCACTCCCAGCTTCTGCCATCCTGGCAGTTTGAAAGCATGCAAATGCAAGTAGATAAATAGGTACCACCAGTTGGAAGGTAAATAGCGTTCTGTGCAATCATGCTGTCCACATGATCACAGAGTAGTCTCTGACAACGCTGGCTCTTTGGCTTAGTAACGGAGAGGAGCACCGTCCTCTATGGTCGGACACGACTTGACAACCTTGTCAACCTTTACCTAACTGTTCTATGTATTGCTTATTGTCCACACTGACTTGTTTATTTTTCAAAGTCACTTTTGTCAAATCAAAACAGAGACTTAGGGCCTTTACAGTCTTCCAGAAATAATGCAGCTTGAAGCCACTTTAACTGCCCTGACTCAGTGCTAGGGAATCATGGAAACTGTAGTTTATTGTGGCACCAGAGCTCTCTGACAGAGAAGGCTCAGTGTCTCAGAAAAAACTACAGTTCCCATGATTCCCTAGCACTGAGCCAGGGCAGTTAAAGTGGACTCAAACTGCATTATTTGTGGCAGTCTGTAAAGGCCCTTAGTTGAGGTAGGAGGAGTTATTTGAGATCTGTAATGTTAATCTGACAATTATATCAGCATTAACAAAGCGTGGGGAGAGGGAGGGTGTAAGAATTATACCAGAATGTCAGGTTTTTAATAACAAAATTGTAGACTATTTTAGTGAATCAGGAATGTGCCCTGTTGTTTAAACATAGTGGTTTATCGTGGTGTTGCAATTCTGTGATAACAATGCTCATGAAAAGGCATTTGGAACCATTAACAAATGGTTATTTATTGGTGTAAATCACACAAATAACACATTCTTGTTTCAGACACAAAAATATAAAAACATTTGGTTCCTATAATAAGATAGCAAAATAAGTATACAGTTGCAATGAGGCTGATTATAGTATTTAAACTACACCAGTTACCTCCTCCCCCCCCCCCACACACACACATCAAAAGGTGATTTCATGTAGTGAATGAAATTTGGTTTCATGGCAGTTTCACTGTTAGCAGGATAAAGCAGACTGATTTTAAAATTGAGAGACAAGGATAAAGTGTGACATTGACAGCTACAATGTAGCAGCTTTTATGTATGTATATCTGGCTATGGTGACACATGTTTGGTTACTACCTGTTTGGACTATTGTAACATGCTCTACATGGGGTTGCCTTTGGAAACTGTTTGGAAACTTCAGCCGGTCCAAAATGCTGCAGCTAGAATGCTGACTGGAGCCAGTTATAGGGAGCATATAACTCCTGTATTGAAACAGCTTCACTGGCTACTGGTTTGTTTCTGAGTACAATTCAAAGTGCTGGTCATGACCTATAAAGCCCTACACGACATAGGCCCAGACTATTTGAGAGACCATATCTCCCCATACGAACCAATTAGGGCAGGGGTAGGCAACCTAGGGCCTGGGGGCCGGATGTGGCCCCCTGAGGCCTTTGGACCTGCCCCAGGCCGGTCCTGCCACCGCCGCCCCCCACTGCCCACCACCGCCGTCCACCATGATGATATTGATTATTGTTGTTATTACT